GCGAAGAGGACAAGGATAGGACTGGTAACTTGAGGAAACGGTGATGATGAACCTGTAATTATTTTGTCTGACGATCCGCCCGTCAGCGCTGGGTTTTAGCGGAGGGTTTCTGGACCTGACAACAACAGCTTTGAGGGTTTCTCAAAAGACTTATTTTTGGCACTGAACATCACGGATGTCGGCCTCCTTGAGGCTGAAATTTTGGAGTTTGCGCTGCCAGGTTAGCAGCAGCCAGAAGTGGAGCAAGCACCGCGATCCTAAATCGTGGCAGTACAACACCCCTCAGCGGAGGTGGCTGAAGTGGGCCGGGATACCAAGTTTGATGCCCTTTTGAAACCAATTTCTGCGTTCCAACGATTCCAGACATGCTTTGAGATAGAGGTCAAGAAATCGAAGATTATCGAAGAACGTATCTACAAGGAGGTCGGCTACGAGCACGAGGCGGTCTGAAGAAAACCTTGCTGATTCATTTGGTGGATGCACCATTTCTCTGCAGTCTCTGGAGGTCATGCTCATCAAAGACTTGTTGCGTATTGCTTTTTCGAGTTTGCTGTGCCGCGTGCCAGGTAAAGTGAGGTGCCTGCGAGCGACAAGCAGAGAAGCAAAAATAAACGCAGCACGTGCACGGGAAAGCACGTCACCGCAGAGGATGTGGCTGATTGCGCGTGAAGCTTTGCCAAGGCTGCTGCAGCTTTGCAACGAGATTGCACCAAGAGGCAAGAGACGGCGTGTGGCTGCAGAGACAGTATGCCCCCAAGCATCCATGGCAAGAAAGAAATTGGCCAATCACCCCTTCAGCCACCAAGACAATGCCACTCAACCGAAGCACTATATACACCACCCAGCCGCACATTTGCGCGGCCAACTGCCCAACTGCCCAACTGCCCATCTACCCTTCTACCCAGATACGGCCCAACCCCCCAATCCCTCAACCCCTAGCCAGCCACCTTCCCCTCAACCTGATGGAGCCCCAACACAGCCAAGTGGACCCCGAAAACCGCACAGTGTCCTGGGTGTTGGCCCCGCATGCGGAATCCGGCAGGGGGCCTAGGGAAATTTGCCTCAGCCGCTTTGGGGTCCCGTGGGGCCACAGGTGTCCACTCGACCCAAGGATTTCAACAGACTTAAGGATCCCCGCCTCGTGCAACCCATTTGAGAGCGCTAACCGGCGTTGGCCATTTTAGAAGGGCTCTACTACTTTCTTTCATTGGAGTTTTCGCAGCCCTTATGATTCGTGTTATAGCAAGAGCTGTGTAAACCTTAACCATGTTGGCTTTGAATTTTAATGGGAACATGCTCGACACGGTTGGTGGAGAATAATCCGCTGCAGCGTCGACTCGCTGAGGCCCGGAGGCCCAAGTGCGTGGACCTATTGATGCGGCTCGTGCGCAATGCGCCGAGCTACCTGAGCTTCTCGGATGCGAAGGGGAGAAAGCACAACGGGATGTGTCAAAATGGGAGAAATTCCGTTTGGAAGCTATTTTAAAAGAAAACCAACAAGAAGTCGCTCACTCGCGTCCCCAATTTGAATGGCTCCCTGGCAATGGCTCAGGTGCTGGGGTGTTTGTGATTTTCCTTTGGATCGTCCTGCTCACCCTCTATTCTGCAGTTCCAGAGCTTCCCGACAGGTCCGGCCTGACAGCGCCCAGAACCTCCATCACATGACGTTTTGCATTTTCTTCTATTTGGCTGGAGCTCAAAATTGGCCATGCCGGAAATCCTGATGGGAAAATGAGCAGATTTCAATGTGCAGGCTTGTGTTTTCTTCTTCAAAATTCTGACCCCTTTGCAGGTTTTGGGGTTTTGGAGATATGGACGCTCGTATACAACGAATAGAAGTTGGTAAGGCAGAATATACCGCTTTTCTGGGTGGTATACAGCCTCAAAAGCCCCAACAAAAAGCCCTTGAGCAGTATGAAAGCTTGAGCCCAACTGGTTGGCGTGCGCGGGCGGGCCAGGTCGCCTGCCTTCCTACGGGGGCGGCGCCAGCCGAAAGAAGAGGCGAGCCATCAGGACGCCCGGGATGTGTTGACTCAGCGGAGCCATTGCAAACCATGTGTGTGCCTTTTGAGGCCACCCCTTTCTTGCTGCTTTTAAAGGATACGCCAAAGAAACTCACTAATTTGGAGGGGGGGGCGTCCCCTACACCCAATGGTGACCACTGGCAACGACCAAGGTTCATGATTTCCCACGTTTCCTGCCTGCTTTGAGTCAGGTCAGGGTCCACAAGACCCCAAAGAAAGCGAAAACTTCATGCCCTGCAGAAAAAGGCCGTTTGAAGCAACCAGCCGTTTATGCATCGATACTTTGCAGAAATATGAGTTGCTGTAGGAAAGTGCGGGCCGCGTCAAAAGGTTAAGCGCTTCGTGATGGGCTTGAAGCAGAAGCTAGCTTGATCCCGCATGTCTTGCGCATACAGTAGCTTTGGACTCCCGTGTAAAACTTTAACACCTCCGCTCAGGCCGCCAGGCCTGCTTTCTTGCATGTGTCTGACTAGTGTGACTTTTTTGCTCCTAGCTGGAGATGCCGCCATTTTTTGTTTTCAGCCTCGTCTCTATTTTTTGGAGAAGCCTCCGCGCGTTAATGATGCGTGTGCTACTGATGCAATCAAGCTCTCTGCTGTTGATGCTTCTTGTCCTTGTCCTTTCTTTGCACTCTTCCCTTTTGACAAGTGCCCGCAGGACTTGAGTGCGAGCCTTTGCTTGCCTCCGTTTATTCGCGTAGGTTCTTGTTGCAAGCTCCACTGTCACTTGTGGAAAGGTCACCACAAGTGCTGGATGGGGGTGATATTGATGCAATCAAGCTCTGTCCTGCTGATGTTTCTTTTTTTTTTTGCGCCCTTTCGGACTTGCTTGAGTAGGACCTTTGGTTTGCCTCCGCTTGTTCATGTTCTTTACCCTAGTGTAGTTGTTGGTTTGCATCTTCCTCGCTATGTTTTTGTCCCCAGAAGTGATGCATGGGGCTTGCTTCTTATCCAATCAAGTTCTGTCCTGCTAATGCTTGTTGTTTTCTCTTTCGTTTGCGCTCTTTCCTCTTGAAAAGGTCGCCGCAGGACTGGGGTAGGGACCTTTGGTTTGCCTCCGTTTGTTCATTCTTGTTTCCTTAGCTGAGAACGCCTGCAGTTTTTGTTTTCATCATCCTCTTTTCTGGAAGGTCTCTGCATGTGCGGGATGGCGGTGTTACCACTGCAGTCAAGCTGGCTGTCCTTTCCGTTTGTTTGCGCCAATTTGGAAAGGTCCCCCGCAAGTGCCGTATGGGGGCGCTAGTGAAGCAAACTACTTCCTGCTGATGCTTCTTGTCCTTCTCGTCTATTTGCACTCTTTCCTTTTGAAAGGTCTTCGCAGGACTTGAGGGAACCTTGCTTTGCCTTTGGTTTGCCTCCGTTTGTTCATGTGTTTTTCCTTAGCTGGGGATACATGTAGTTTTTGTTGGCAATTTCCTTTGTTTTGTTGGAAAGGCCCCCAAGGTGCTACTGCTGCAGCTGTGCTTCTATCTTTCTCTTCCATTTACACTCTTTCCTTTTCAATGGTCCTCGCAGGACCTGAGGGTTGTCTCCGTTTGTTGATGTTCTTTTCCTCAGCTGAGAAGGCTCGGACTCTTCTTGACAAAACGAGAGCACATATAACTTGCAGGGTCTCCAACCATTTTGGTTTTGTGGGGGGGTTCTCAAAATTAGGGAGGCCATAAGAGAGGTTGTTTTATGTGGTTTTCCTACAACTATTAGCCAAAAGGGCTTCATTTTGAAAACCCCGATTTGACACCCGGATCTTTTCCTTGAGTTGTGTTTTATCGCCCAGCTTGGATGTTTCCTGCCCCTTATGGGTGCGATCTGTGGAGGTTCAAAGAGTCTTGGCACATCTTGGGTTTTGGTCCGTCAGCAAGCCGTCGCGCTCTTTTTTTGCAGGAACACATGTATGAATTGGCGTCCCTGAAGTGTGATCCTCCGAAAAGTAACTTTGAGACCCCCTCGAAATGATGTTAGGCATCATTTCCTAAAAGGCGAACCCCCCCGCCCCACGCTAGTGGTTTTCCTTTTTGCTTCCCTCCACAGCACCCAGCCTCAAGCACAGGACGATCCGATACCCGAGAAAAGGCCTGAGGAAGGCCGCGTCAGAGGCGAGGGACCGCATCCGGCAACACTCCGGGCATGTCTCAAAGACCCACAAACGATTCGGTACGATTCGGTTTGGGTACAGGTCCGAAAACAATTCAAAGTGGGTAGCAAAAGAAGAAAGACAGCCGCTCCTTTACCCCCGTCAGAGGTGTTTAGCTATGCCAGCATGAATCCACACCAACATCTATATTTCACGCTGAGCAGCCCGACTTCTCAAGAACTGCCACCTAATCTTTCGGCGCAGTTTCCTGAACCTATAGACCAACAACATACTCCACTATGGCTCGACTGCTTTGTTTCGTCCACTGGTCCACGGATCCAGGGATGCAGGGAGCAGGTCGCGCTGCATTTGTCAACTGTTGCACACCATTTGCCACATTTTGCAAGCAGAAGACCAACAAACAATCGAACTCCAAACGCCAAACAAAAGCAAAACAACAATTCAAACACATGAACAGACGTCAAACAACCCCAAGGCAACGGAGGCCTGGCTGTCTTGGCTCCTGTTGCTGTGGTAAGCGGTGGACCGTTATGCTGCCACTGCTGGGATGAGCACGACAGGGGGACTGTTTTGTATGCTGACCGCTGGTTTGACAGGGTTCGCAGGGCCAAAGTTGCCGGGATGAGCGTGACAGGGTCCGCAGGGGGGGGAGTGTTTTGTGTGCTGCCACAGGGGCGCCGTTTTGTATGCGGAAAAGCGCGCAGAGGTGCTGTCGAGAAGAGCCAGCCGCGCTATGCACAGCTCCGCAAGGAGGGCAGGTTCCAGTGCTTCGATGGCAGCAAGAGTGGGGGAGCTCAGCACATCCCGCTCAGCTGAAAACGCCATCAGATTGTTTGTAAGTGGTGTCTAGGGCCTGCCACGACCCCACGGGATACAAATATTGTTCCCATTTGTGCGACATTTGATCCTGGCCTCACGACTGGTCGAGTAGTGAATCGCACATGAGACTTTGGTGCCCCAGGTTTCGACACCTTTGCTGTGATCAATGATGACTACTGCGACTGCTTGGATGGAAGTGATGAGCCCGGCACATCAGCTTGTGCAGGCCTTCTGGGAGTGGATCCTTGAGACGTGTGGACACATTCCGCGTTCCATGTTGAAGGCCTGTGAGTCGACAACCATTGTCAGGTGTACATTTCTGATTTTGAGACCGTGGCTGAACTTGTCTCGCTGAGCCAATGAGTCGCTGCCAGGAGTACCCACCTCCGTTCTGGAGGGCTTCGCGTGCAACTGGGAGCGAGGCCGTTTGGTCAATGGGGATGGGCTGAATTCTATTCGGGCCTCCACCAAAACCGTCCATGGCCATGATTTAGAACCAACAGAGTTTGACCATGCCACCAGCAGGGCGGCTCACAAGCAGCGGACAAGAGAGAGAGAGAGGGCCATTTGAAACAATTTGAAACACAAAATACAGCCCCGAAACTGGAAGCCTCCTCGAAAGCAATCGAGGAAGATTGTTTTGGAACACTTCGTGTGGGGATTCCGTACTTGTCTGAACACTGATACTGATACTGACGTGGAAGGACGCATTCCTGCACTTGGGACGGAACCCTATGAACGGGACCAACTACCTTCCCTCTTGTGCGAAGGGGATTCTGTACACGCAGTATCAATTCACTTGCCTGATCTTCGAGCATACCTGGCCAGGTGCGGGTCCATTTGTGCACATGTCAACTGTGAACGATGGCCTGTGCGACTGCTGCGGGGGCCAGGACTCGACTTCCCGCATTCCCCGTTGATTATTTTTCGTCGCTGCTTGCCAGTGGGTGCGCAAGCAAGCAAACGCCAGCGACCAACAAGGATCCACCTCAAAAGCGGTGGACACGAATCCCCACACAATGTCCGCCAAGGGTCCCAATTGTGCCCAATTGGTAGACAGATGGAGAGAAGATTGGCAGATGCGGATGCCCAGCCCGTTGTACGCAGAGAACTCACCAAAGGATGGCCAAGCAGAATCAATGGAGCCATGCAGCCACGCAGCAATGCAGTGGATGGAATTGTTCGGTTGCAGATGTCCAGAATCCCAGAGAAGGTCTCCCCCCTGAAGCTCGCTTTGTGTAGTTTGTGCCCCCTATAATTTTGGGCCGAAAACCCACGACTTGCAGTCCACGTGGCCAATTTATAGCCAAGGAGTTTTTCCTTGAACACCTACTTTGGTGAATAGCGCTGCTTTGCTTGCCCTTCGACAGAACCAGGAAGAGACCACTTGAAATGAACTCTATGAGATCCCCCCGCCACTTGTGCCAACAAAAATCGCTCGCGCGAGCAAAACAGCGATTGACATGCAGATGTTGCTGATCGAGGGGCTGCCTTTTTTGAGGAGGAGGCCGCAGCTGACACACCATTCCCATCGTAAGCCCTCATGCCCATCAAACCCAACGCCGAAAAGGGTACCCCACGCCCTAACCCAAGCTTATCAAACCTTAATAAACGCCAAATCCCTATCCCTCCAACCCTAAAACGAGTACCCTAAGCCTCCGACTCGAGGACGAGTGGCAGAGCGGCGCGTGCTCCGACCGCTGCGAGGCTTTGGCGGCAGATGCCAAAGCCTCCAAGTCCATGGCCATGGAGGGCGGCAAAGCGCGCCAGGTGCCAAATCTGACCCCACTGGGAGGGTGTTTTGTTTCAGGGCGCCTCTTGTTTTAAAAGGGACGACAACCCGAAAGCACCATTTGCCGAGAACAGACGCTCCCCACTGGCTTCGGTTTGCCTGGCGCTTTCCCTAGCCAAGCTCTCAAAAAGGGCCTCAAAAGAGCCAAAGGGCTTGTCTTTAAGATGAAGGGACCCCGAATGGTGCTTCTCTCACTCTAGGTAAGCAAATAGATGAATAACCAAGTAGATGACCAACACATGAGATAGATAGATAGATAGATAGATAGATAGATAGATAGATAGATAGATAGATAGATAGATAGATAGATAGATAGATAGATAGATAGATAGATAGATAGATAGATAGATAGATAGATAGATAGATAGATAGATAGATAGATCGACCGATCGATCGATAGATAGATAGATAGATAGTATGGATAGATAGATACATAGATGGATACATTCATACATACATAAATTGACAAATGAGTAAATCACTGAATTAAATCAACAAGTTACGTAAATAGATACATACTAAAGAAGAATATTAATTAAATAGATAAACCAAGTAATTAAATAAATGCGTAGAAAATACATAAACACAGGTATACACAAACAAACACACACACACACACAACAACATGAATCAATACACAAATAGAAGAGTCAATGCATGACACACACGCATACGTTATATATATGTATACATATATATTCACCCCACAGCTCTGCACACTGGTCGGCGGGGGGGAGGGGGGAGGGGGGTGGGGCTGAGGTTGGGGTTTGGCGCTCTTCTTTTTTGTTGTCCTGACCTTTGGTTGTTCGGATTGTCTTCATGTTGCAATAGCCGGGTTGCGTTCTCACTCCGTGAGAGCTTTCGTTTTGGCGCTGCAACTGAAACGACTGCAAAGGTTCAGCTCTGTGCGAATATAGGTGTATATATATAAATTTAGTATATGAATAGACGTGTACAAATATTTGCATATACGTATAATTGTATATGTACATATATAACGAACAAACGCACACACGCACACGTATATATATATATATATTCACACATATAGATACAAATATTCGATCCCTTAAAATAGATGTTTTTTTGGGAGAGTTGCAAAGGGATTTGTAATTGTGTTAAGTCTTGGCAAGTGACCACCCCTGGCAGGTTTACCTTTTTCGCAAGTAACACATTTAGCAAGTAAAGCAGTACAAGGTTTGCGCCGGTGAAAGATGAAAAGTAGCAGCCAAACATAAACCGTGTTTTGTTTCTGACGGTTTTACCTTTTATACTTTGCCTCAACGAAGTGGAATAAGACAGTAAAAGTGACCAAGCAATGCACAAATAATTGAAGCTTAACAACGTAAGACTGTTCGCCCCATTAAGCGCAAAAAGTGAAACTGCACAAGGTAAAAGTATTAACTTCTGGCAGTTTTACTTATACTTTTTCACTCTTCCCTGGTACAAGTAGAAAGGTAAGAATATACAACTTTTGGGCCCAGGAGAAGTAAACCATGACTGGCGAAACACACACAGGCAGTTTCTCGTGTTTACTTCCACCCCGCAAAGTAGAAAAGCACAGTGAAGATTTTTTTTGTCTCCCGTTTATTATTATTACTGTTATTTCATGAGGTTTCACTTTTTACTTTTCATGGATCCAACATTTTCTTGTTTTTTTCCTTCACATTTTGCACACTTTGTGATTTTGTATGGGCCAACCATTTTACTTTTTTCTCTATTTGTTTTTCTCCGGGGAGAAGCAAAACCATACAACTGGCAGAAGTTAAGCAAGTTGCTTGGGTAACCTTCTATTTGTCCGTGTGGCCAGAGGGTTTACATTTGTTTGTTTTTCTTTCCCCCAGCAAACGTAAAACGATAAAACTGCGAGAAGTAGAGACACAATATTTTGCAGGTGATTTTTGCGTTTGTGCTCCTTCACTAGCTCTACACCGCGGAACTGCCAACTTTTTTCTTGTGGGGGGATGCCCTTTTGGGGGCGCCCTTTTTGGGGTCAGGAAACACGCAAAGGTGAGCGAGGAATGGGAGGAAATCGAGGAACGTTCCACTGGTCCTTTTCGCTTCTTGTAGAAGCTCCCTCACATTCAAAGCGCCAAGGGACATGAACGTCGGCACTCACCCTTTAAACCTCAAAAGGGGACATCCGAGAGTCGGCATGCCCGGGCTGACGAAATGCAGGCCTATGTCCAACGCGCTCTCAAGCTTCGCGAGTCTGCGAAATTCCGTGACACAGACGGAGGTGGGAATGCGTGCGAAGGTTGCGCGCGAGCTGCTCAAGCCGAGGGAGCAACGCTCGTCATATTTGTAGAGGCGGTACTACTGGACTAGAGCTAAGGGTAAGATTTTAGGAAGGCCAATGAACATTGGCTGAACGTTCAGCTGGGATTTTTGGGTCACTTTGAACCCAAAGGTTCTTTTGGCGTCGGAATTCGCAGCTTTTGGCTTGTAGTTTTGTTGCTTCCGGTCGCGTCTTGCAGAATTTGCGTGCTTGCGAAGCAGCGCTGCTCGGAAACGAGTTATTTGCAGAGAGTTTTCAAGGCATCCTTGAATTTATCCCTCGGTTTAAGCATCACCTTTTGGGCTCTTTTTTTATGGAGCTTTTCGGCGGGCGAAATCTCTGAGCACGGGCGAAACATTAGGAAAGCTCTGAGCCCGAGAAACATTGGCGAAATCTTTTTGTGCAACTGGACCCTGCTCTCGAAGGTGCGACATGCATCATGGTGGTTTGGATTGGTGGTTTGGAGAGTTGGACCTCTGGTTCTGGTAGAGGGTCAATGGGAAACCACCCTGAACCTCCAAAACCGCCCTTTTTTAGGGAAGCTGATTAGGTGGTTGGCAGCCGTTTGCCAAGCTGTGAGGTCATGTTGACCTCCGTACTTGTCGTCAGCTGCTTGATGTGCGTGCAAGCTGGTTTGAAGACCGGAAGCTATGCAACGACAAATGCGACGCGGCTGCAAAGAGGGTTGAGCTGGATTTCAGCAAGGCTGAAATTCCTGAGTGGGAGCGGGATAGTCAGTGTTTCCTGTGCGCCCAAAGTAGTGTGAACGGGACACCTCGCATTGAAGCTGTTGAGATAATTGCCAAGTGCCAGAGTCTCAGAATGAATATGTGCGGACCCTGTTCCATCTTTCTTGCCGTGGAATGACTTTTTGAGGGCTTCGTTCAGCTGAGGGAGCCTGGCAACGGTGCCTGAACCAGCTGTGAATGTGTCCACCCCGCGTTTTTGTCCCCTTGAATGGCCAGCATGCAAAACCAACCCAGCAGCTGCGAGCAATTTGCATTATGAGGGGCCAAGCCATCTTTGGGGCGCGACTGAACCGATTCGCTTTGCAGATAAGCTAGGTTGCCGACTTTCTTAGCAGCCCAGCCTTTCTGGATGCCGTGACAGATGCAATTTCAAAGGCTGGGCAGGACTGCTCTCAGTGTCAGGAATGCCTCAATGTCAAGGGACCACTCGTGGTTTGTGTTCCCTTCACCATCCGGACTTTGGGACGTAGCCAACTAGAGCTGGACGTGGCAAACATCAAACCTCGGGGGATAGTTCACCGATGCAGACTAGACTTCATTCGCGACATGTCTCGGAGGAAAGGCGAGACACGGGCCTCCCTGCCCTTCCAGCAACTTCTGAGAAGGTTCCAAGAGCCTTGTTTTGGATGGGGGCCTTGGCTCATATGGACACCACCCCCGCGCCAGGACAAAGGAGATCGAGAGCTCCTCCGAGCCCAGGTGCAACCAATGTATGTGCAAAGGCCAACATGTTCTCTTGATCTTTTCGAAGGAAATCCATGGTTGGTTGGTTGGTTGGTTGGTTGGTTGGTTGGTTGGTTGGTTGGTTGGTTGGTTGGTTGGTTGGTTGGTTTGCCATTTGGGTTGGTTTGCCATTTGGGTTGGTTTGCCATTGGATATTCGGGCATTGGCATGTGACAAGCCGGGAACGTGGTGCAATGGGCGGCTGAATCTGCGAAAACCGATTGCTTTTTGGCAGGTTGCCAACAGCTTTGGGAGCATTCCTGGCGTCTCAGAGAGCTCCTTGGTCGGTTCTCACGGACAGGGCAGTCCAGTCGTTACATTTGGGATTCACAAGCGGTAGGCTTTTCCTTTTGAAGCCAAAGGGGCCCCGACTGTTGGCATCATTGCCAGGCTAGGAACATTACAAGCAAGAGACCATACAACGCAGATGAGAGCAAACTGTGGCCTAGCGACTTCTTTGAGTTCAATTGAGTCTGCGGAGGCCTGTGTTTGTGAGGTACGACCATGGATTCCATCACCGGCAGTCAGAAGGAGTGTCTTTTTCTCAGCTTTCAAGGCAGAGCAGTCGCTTGCGAATCTGTCAAACTACAACAGATGGACCTTCTTTGAAGTATCCGTTCGCATGCGTCCAGGTTGGTCCGGAAACATACGTTTTTTCGATCAAATTTTCAATGCTACAGTACTGCAGGAGGCGTTGCTGGAGTTGGTCAAACATTTGCCCAACCTGAGCCTCAGAAGCTCTGGCCGAAGATTGAGCGTCCTGCCAACAAATGGGTGTGTCTTTTTTAGAGGACCCCCCCCAAAATGGTTAGTTTCCTTTCGTTTCCCTTTAAGACCATCCTAACAAGGGGTACCCTGCAAACAAAACAGACCCAAATCAGGCCGTGGAAATCCTAGCTCCCACAAAGAAGTCCTGTCGGGGAACAAACAACATTGTCATCTCAGCTGCTCGCGCATGCCATGCACAAAGCACTCTGTGCTATGCTTAGGAATCGTCATCCCCCCTTAGGGTTTCAAACCACGCTGAGGCAAACAATATCAATTGAGGAAACAGCATGGCCTACATAGAACCTCTGCGTGCGTGTGTGTGTGTGTTGTGTGTGTGTGTGGGATTTGCACAACAACGTCTCGTTGGGGAGAACCCCTTCAAGGACGGCACCAAATCAATGCCAAAATGGGTCCTTATGTGGACACCTTCCATGTTTGCTCTTCCTTTCTTCCCTGGGGCGGTTGTTTTGTAGGGAAGGGAGTCAACCTGGTGTTCTTCAATGTAGCAAAAGCACATTCCCGGTTGTTGATACTTGAGGATGTGGTGAGGATATCCCGTCAGCGCCAGACTTGGTGTGTTTGAAGTGTCAATGTACGACCACGTGACTGGGGCCCTGAATTAGGTCTCAACGAGACAGCGGAGAACGTCACATACAGGTTCCAGAGCTTCGATGCTCGCCGTCACTTCAGCTGATATGTTTTTGGCGACTGCTGTCAGCAACTGAAGTGCTGTGTTTTTGCATGATCCTATCATCTACAGCGGTTCGGGGTAACCCTACGCGCTCACTGTGCCGGATGCTCATGAGGACAGCAACCACAAGGAGGGTACTGGTTCTCTTGGAAGAGTCCAGGCTGCACATAGGCTTTTGCTGCATTATTTCTGTCATTTCCTCGGGGAGGGAGCTGTCGGCTGGTCTTTCTCTTAGCCGTCCCCTGCACGGTGCAGAGCGAGGCAGTGGTAGTGCTGACAAGAGCGTCTCGGAAGTTACCGTGGTGAAGTCCAAAGACGGGAAAGGACCGGATCCGGTGCTTCAAATCGAGACCCCCAAACTTAAAGTATTCAATGCTATGCACATTTATTGACATGGTCCATAGATGGTGTCTCCTCGAGTTTGCACTTGCCAAGGAGGTGCTTTCGGTTTGAGAGAAAGGCTCTGAGCATTTCTTGAAATGATGTGCTTAGCGAGCTGCCCTGGAACTGAGTACATGTGTTTTTTCTCGCTCAGCCGTCCACGCCACTGTGACCAGGATTCTCATTCACTATCGGGCCACAGATTGCTGGCACGTTCCTCATTGGAGGCACTTTGGAGATCAAGCAGAGCGTCTTGGCAAATGTGAGTTGACTATGACTCAAGTCAACGGGCATTGACCCTCAATGACAGTTCTAGTAATACTTGAAGACTGCCATCAAGACCATGTGAGAGTTTTACCAGTTGCTCATGCTTTTTGTTTTGCGCGTGTGTGGGTTGGATGCTGCCTACTTGGTTGTTGGCAAGGTGTCTACCCGATCGAAGCACACTTCCTGGATGCATTGTTTCTGTTGGGGATTGTTTGAGTTTCGAAGGAGAGGTGGCATGACATTTTTCATTTTCTATCAGCACTGCTGCAACCACCAAGGTTTCCCACACAAGTTCCATGCCCAGGGAACCAGGAAGATGCGTATTTGCTTTGGATTGGCTTCGCGAAATGTCCTGCGCCAAGGAAATGGTCGTTACATCTCCGGGCGAATCCGTGCGGGTTTCGTCAACTTGCGCCCCTGGAATATCAAGTGCCGAATGAGTGCCACGCGTCCGCTGCTGCAGATCCCCCGCAAACACGTTTGTTTTCCTGTTGTGGAGGGATCTGTTGAACTATGCCCCTCAGCTTGCCGTTGCGGCCAGAGAGCTGTGAACTGAGACAAGTTCTGCTCAGTTTGGCGATTTGGTAGAAGCTGAAATGGAGGTGATGTAAGCGACCACTATTCTTCAGAAAAGGGGGCGACACGAGGAAGCGGAAGCTTGAGTCGCGTTGAGGCAGGTCCGTAGCCGCAAGTGAGGCGCGATGCACCTTCTGCGCAGGCTCCGGGTACACCAAGCTAAGGTACAGTGCTCACAGGGACATGGGAGTCCGACAGTACAGAGATTTGTCTGAATTAGCGGGGCTAAAGTTGGCATTCCATTTCCGTCAACGCTCAAAGGCTTTGAATTAGTCAAGTCCGCGTTGGAAGAGGCTTCAGCTTGCAACTGGTTCCATGCGCGTGCGGGTCTACGAAGTCACCCGCGAGGGTCATGTTTGCCGGAGGGCCATTTGTTTTTTCCATTTTTTTCAAAGGATTTTTTTGTTTTTCAGGGAGGGTGGCTTTTTGGCTTTTGTGGCTTTTACGTGGGTTTATGTGGCTTTTGTGGCTTTTTTCATTTCGCATCCTCTGCATTCACAGTTCCTCTCTGCTTGGCTTTTGCGGCTTTTGCGGCTTTGGCTTTTCGCATCCGCTGCATTACCACTTCCTCTCCGGCAGGTGGCTTTTTGGCTGTATCGCTTTTGGCGGCTTTCTGGCTTTGGCTTTTTGCCTCTGCTTTCCGGAAAGCAGTTGGTTGTTGGCCTTGGCTTCCTGCATCCTCAACATCGCCAGTTCCTCTCTGGTGCCCCCCACCCCGCTTTGCACCCCTACCCAACAACCCCCCCCCTCTTTTTTTATCATCACATTTTTCGAGCATCCAATTTCGCGAGACAATGCTGACAAATACGACATTTTATGTAATCGATGTAATTGTAAACGCTTCGCGCTGCCCGCCTCGGCCCAGCCTAGTTTGAGGGCAGGGTCAGGAACACCGAAATCCAGTGTTGGGAAGGTCCGAATCCTACTGAAAGCTTGTGACCGCACCAGTTCGCCCGTGCTAGTTCGATGTTCGGAAGCCGTCCTGCTCGAAAGGTTTGAAATCCAAAACCAAGACTATCTCAGCTGCTCAGTGCCCTTGGAAAACAAGAAGAGCCCGGGAACCCAAAAGCAAACCAGCCTCACTCCCCATGGCATGTGGATCCTGTTGTTTTCCGGCTCAAGGGTCCGAAGGCAAACCAAGATTTAAGTTGTTCACAGTTGGGAAATCAACCCCAAAACAGATGAAGAAGGGGAGCAACCGCCACTCAAGCCGGATTGGCAGCCAGCAGCCTGTGCTCTGACCAAGCACACAGAAAAAAGGCAAAGGCACGGGTGAAACATGACAGGCCCCGCACTACATGGAAGGCACGAAGTCATCCGATTCATCATGAAGAACAAATCACAGAAATCCGAAAATGGATCCGCACAAACTACCACTCCCAAATTGGAAGCAAAGCATAAGCTCGCTCTACACCCGTCTGAAACAAGTCTGAGACACAGTGTTACAACACGATCTGAGTAGACCGGGGTCAGCTGTTCGGATGTTCATGCACCCTTTTGTTTGGGCCAAGTGTGCTCAGCATGAATCATGTCAACGTGCTTCCAGGCTGCTTCCAAATAAGTAGGGCGAACCCCAAGAGGCCACCTGACCCCGGTCTACGCAGATCGTGGTAACACTGTGTCTCAGACTTGTTTCAGACAGGCGTCAGACCCACCAAGTGACCGAGGCTTGTCTACACACCGAGCCCCCCGCAAAAGCGCAGCGCCGGCCCCGTCTCCACACACCTGCGGCGAATCCACCCAACTTGCCACCCACACGCATCCAATTGACAACGTGCGCGGCCCTTTCCACAAAGTCACCAGTTGCAATTGGTTGCGAATGGGAAAATAGGTGGAGAAACTAACGAATCCAAGCAAGCTTACGAAGCAAGTTTGTGAAGGCCACGTGCACGGCTCCATGTGAACAGCCCGGCGTTCCAGGTGCGCCAAGATTGTTATTTTTGCCGCACACCTGACCCGAACAAATGGCGCCAATGTGTTTCTGCGCCCTTTTGTTTGGGCCGAGTGTGCTCAGCATATTCATGTCAACGTGCTTCCAGGCTGCTTCCAAATAAGTAGGGTGAACCCCAAGAGGCTACAGCTTCTGAAGAGAGGGTTCGTCCTAGAAACACATTGGCACCATTTGTTCGGGTCAGGTGTGCGGCAAAAATAACAATTTTTGGCGCACCTGGAACGCCGGGCTGTTCACATGGAGCCGTGCACGTGGCCTTCACAAACTTGCTTCGTAAGCTTGCTTGGATTCGTTAGTTTCTCCACCTATTTTCCCATTCGCAACCAATTGCAACTGGTGACTTTGTGGAAAGGGCCGCGCACGTTGTCAATTGGATGCGTGTGGGTGGCAGGTTGGGTGGATTCGCCGCAGGTGTGTGGAGACGGGGCCGGCGCTGCGCTTTTGCGGGGGGCTCGGTGTGGACAAGCCTCGGTCACTTGGTGGGTCTGACGCCTGTCCGAAACAAGTCTGAGACACAGTGTTACCACGATCTGCGTAGACCATGTGCCCTTTTGTTTGGAGTGTGCTCAGCATATTCATGTCAACGTGCTTCCAGGCTGCTTCCAAATAAGTAGGGCGAACCCCAAGAGGCTACGGCTTCTGAAGAGAGGGTTCACCCTAGAAACACATTGGCACCATTTGTTCGGGTCAGGTGTGCGGCAAAAAGGACAATTATGGCGTACCTAGGAGCGCCGGGCTGTTCACATGGAGCCGCGCACGTGGCGGTTGCCGCATGTCATGAGCGTCCGCCGCGCCAGTCTCGCTCGCCGGCATGTCGCGAGCGTCCACCGCGCCAGTCTCGCTCGCGGGCGGTTTCCGCATGTCACGAGCGTCCACCGTGCCAGTCTCGCTCGCGGGCGGTTTCTGCATGTCACGCATGTCACGAGGATCCACCGCGCCAGTCTCGCTCGCGGACGGTTTCCGCATATCACGAGCGTCCACGGGTACCGCGCCAGTCTCGCTCGCGGGCGGTTTCCGCATGTCACGAGCGTCCACCGCGCCAGTCTCGCTCGCGGGCGGTTTCCGCCTGTCACAAGCGTCCACCGCGCCAGTCTCGCTCGCGGGCGGTTTCCGCATGTCACGAGCGCCCATTGCGCCAGTCTCGCTCGCGGGCGGTTTCCGCATGTCACGAGCGTCCACCGCGCCAGTCTCGCTCGCGGGCGGTTTCCGAATGTCACGAGCGTCCACCGCGCCAGTCTCGCTTGCGGGCGGTTTCCGCATGTCACAAGCGTCCACCGCGCCAGTCTCGCTCGCGGGCGGTTTCCGCCTGTCACGAGCGTCCACCGCGCCAGTCTCGCTCGCGGGCGGTTTCCGCATGTCACGAGCGCCCACCGCGCCAGTCTCGCTCGCGGGCGATTTCCGCATGTCACGAGCGTCCACCGTGCCAGTCTCGCTCGCGGGCGGTTTCCGAATGTCACGAGCGTCCACCGCGCCAGTCTCGCTCGCGGGCGGTTTCCGCAAGTCACGAGCCTCCACCGCGCCAGTCTCGCTCACGGGCGGTTTCCGCATGTCACGAGCGTCCAGCGTCGACTGCGCCAGTCTCGCTCGCGAACGGTTTCCGCATGTCACGAGCGTCCACCGCGCCAGTCTCGCTCGCGGGCGGTTTCCGCTAACGAGCGTCCACCGCGCCAGTCTCGCTCGCGGGCGTTTTCCGCATGAGCGTCCACCGCGCCAGTCTCGCTCGCGGGCGGTTTCCGCCTGTCACGAGCGTCCGCCGCGCCAGTCTCGCTCGCGGGCGGTTTCAGCCTCTCACAAGCGTCCACCGCGCCAGTCTCGCTCGCGAACGGTTTCCGCGTGTCACGAGCGTCCACCGCGCCAGTCTCGCTCGCGGGCGGGTTCCGCCTGTCACGAGCGTCCACCGCGCCAGTCTCGCTCGCAGGCGGTTTCCGCATGTCACGAGCGTCCACCGCGCCAGTCTCGCTCGCGGGCGGTTTCCGCATGTCACGAGCGTCCCCCGCGCCAGTCTCGCTCGGGGGCGGTTTCTGCATGTCACGAGCGTCCACCGCGCCAGTTTCGCTCGCGGGCGGTTACCGCATGTCACGAGCGTCCACCGCACCAGTCCCGCTCGCGGGCGGTTTCCGCATGTCACGAGCGTCCACCGCGCCAGTCTCGCTCGCGGGCGGTTTCCGCCTGTCACGAGCGTCCACCGCGCCAGTCTCGCTCGCGGGCGGTTTCCGCATGTCACGAGCGCCCACCGCGCCAGTCTCGCTCGGCGGGCGGTTTCCGCTGTCACAAGCGTCCACCGCGGCCAGTCTCGCTCGCGGGCGGTTTCCGCCTGTCACGAGCGTCCACCGCGCCAGTCTCGCTCGCGGGCGGTTTCCGCATGTCACGAGCGTCCATTGCGCCAGTCTCGCTCGCGAGCGGTTTCCCCATGTCACAAGCGTCCACCGTGCCAGTCTCGCTCGCGGGCGGTTTCCGCCTGTCACGAGCGTCCACCGCGCCAGTCTCGCTCGCGGGCGGTTTCCGCCTGTCACGAGCGTCCACCGCGCCAGTCTTGAGCGTCCACCGCGCCAGTCTCGCTCGCGGGCGGTTTCCGCATGTCATGAGCGTCCGCCGCGCCAGTCTTGCTCGCGAGCGGCTTCCGCATGTCACGAGCGTCCCCCGCGCCAGTCTCGCTCCCGGGCGGTTTCCGCATGTCACGAGCGTCCACCGCGCCAGTCTCGCTCGCGGGCAGTTTCCGCATGTCACGAGCGTCCACCGCGCCAGTCTCGCTCGCGGGCGGTTTCCGCATGTCACGAGCGTCCACCGCGCCAGTCTCGCTCGCGGGCGGTTTCCGCATGTCACGAGCGTCCACCGCGCCAGTCTCGCTCGCGGGCGGTTTCCGCATGTCACGAGCGTCCACCGCGCCAGTCTCGCTCGCGGGCGGTTTCCGCATGTCACGAGCGTCCACCGCGCCAGTCTCGCTCGCGGGCGGTTTCCGCATGTCACGAGCGTCCACGCCAGCGTCCACCGCGCCAGTCGTCGCTCGCAGGCGGTTTCCGCATGTCACGAGCGTCCACCGCGCCAGTCTCGCTCGCGGGCGGTTTCCGCATGTCACGAGCGTCCACCGCGCCAGTCTCGCTCGCGGGCGGTTTCCGCATGTCACGAGCGTCCACCGCGCCAGTCTCGCTCGCGGGCGGTTTCCGCATGTCACGAGCGCCAGTCTCGCTCCCGGGCGGTTTCCGCATGTCACGAGCGTTCACCGCGCCAGTCTCGCTCGCGGGCAGTTTCCGCATGTCAGGAGCGTCCACCGCGGCAGTCTCGCTCGCGGGTGGCTTCCCCATGTCACGAGCGTCCACCGCGCCAGTCTCGCTCGCGGGCGGTTTCCGAATGTCACGAGCATCCACCGCGCCAGTCTCGCTCGCGGGCGGTTTCCGCATGTCACGAGCGTCCACAGCGCCAGTCTCGCTCGCGGGCGGTTTCCGCATGTCACGAGCGTCCACCGCGCCAGTCTCGCTCGCGGGCGGTTTCCGCATGTCACGAGCGTCCACCGCGCCAGTCTCGCTCGCGGGCGGTTTCCGCACAGTCCACCGCGCCAGTCTCGCTCGCGGGCGGTTTCCGCATGTCACGAGCGTCCACCGCGCCAGTCTCGCTCGCGGGCGGTTTCCGCATGTCACGAGCGTCCACCGCGCCAGTCTCGCTCGCGGGCGGTTTCCGCATGTCACGAGCATCCACCGCGCCAGTCTCGCTTGCGGGCGGTTTCCGCGTGTCACGAGCGTCCACCGCGCCAGTCTCGCTCGCGGGCGGTTTCCGCGTGTCACGAGCGTCCACCGCGCCAGTCTCGCTCGCGGGCGGTTTGCAGCCAGCCTCGCGCGCCCAGTCTGCACCACATCGCCGTCCCCCCAGCCAGCCAGTCTCGCTCGCGGGCGGTTTCCAGCCACGCCCAGTCTGCGTCCCCCCGAGCGAGCCCCACACCGCCGTCCCCCCAGCCAGCCTTGTACGCCTGGTCTGCACCCCCAGCCGGCATCGCACGCCCGGTCTGCAGCACAACGAAATGGAAATCCCTTCTTATGTCCGTCGTCACAGCTTGTATCGCTCTCAGGTACCTTAAGAGAAAACCTAAAGCAGAACCCAAGCATCAGAGATGCTTTTGGGAAAAAAGGACCTCTTTCTGGGGATGAGCATTTTTAGCGGGGCTTGGCCTCCATAAAAAGGGGAACAATAATTGGTGTCACTGAACAACCAAGACCAACTTTGGGTGTTTGGGCGCCTCCATTTGACGTGGCTGCGGCTTGCCATGACATACATTTCTTGCTCGGTTGCTCAGCCCAAGACAGGTACATGGTGGGAACACAAACCTCCATTTGCTTAAGTACCCCGGAAAAATATCCTCAATAGTGATAGTTTCCCTGTACCTCGTGTGAATTCATTTCACCAACTTGGGCAGCCGGACTGGGGCACGTCAGACAGGCTTAGTAGCTGGCGTAGCTTGAGACCAGTCTCAGACACGTGAGATGAGGCCAGTCTCAGACACGTTAGACAAACCTGACCTTGGCACGGCTAGTCCTGAGAGGGCCTGGGCAGGCTGAGGTGGGTTACTGGTTGGGCTGGGCCTGAAGCTAGTCTCAGCCACAAGCTGCGCAGCCAGCCTGGAACTTGGGCTGGGATGAGCTGTGCTTTGCTGGACGGGCAAGGCCTTTCATACACACTTGGGCCTGAGGCTGGGTGGCGAGTTGCTGGCTGGGCCTGAGGCCAGTCGCAGACACGTAAGACACGCCAGCAGGTGGGCTGTGGGCCTGAGGCTAGTCTCAGGCTGGCATACTTTCAGACCAGTCTCAGACTGCGCCAAAGGGGCTGGGCCTGCTGGATGGCTTGGGCAGCCGGACTGAGGCTGGGGGCACGCCAGACAGGCCCAGTAGCTGGCATAGCTTGAGACCAGTCTCAGACACGAGACACGGCCAGTCTCAGACACGTTGTGGGGGCCGGCCTGGTGGCTGGCATGGGCAGGCTGGGCGGGCTTGCTGGATGGTTGGGACGTGCTTGGGTTGCTGGTTGGGCTAGGCCTTTCAGACAAGCTTGGGCCTGAGGCTGGGTGGGCTGGGCTGACAGGCCTGGCCAGCAGGCGGGTTGCTGGTTGGGCTGGGCCTGAGCCTAGTCTCAGACACGTCAGACAGGCCTGCCAGCAGGAGGTCATGCTTTTCAGGACAAAGAAGCAATTTTTTAGTTATTTTTTGACAAAAGTGGACCCATGGAGCGCCGACGAACCCCGAAAATTTCAAGGCCCGCCGGACAGGATTTTGGGCGCCGGGGCGGGGGGGAGGGGAAAATGTATGTCTGTATGTATGCACTTGATCAACCATGATAGGGAGCCCCCCCCCCGCCAACCCTCCCGCTGCTTTTTGTATTCTATCGCGCCCTTTCTTGAAGCATTGCACCCCTATTTGAATCATCGCTTCTTCGAACATCATGGGGGGGTGCTGCCCCCCCAACCCCCTCGCTATTGAATCATCAGTTTTTCGATCATCATGGGGGGGGGGCTGCTGCCCGCCCCAACCCCCCCGCTCATTTTTAGCTTTTGTGCCCCTAATTGAATCTTCACCTTTGCGATCATCATGGGGGGGCTGCCGCCCCCCCCAACCCCCCCGCTACTTTTTATATTTTTTGCCCCTATTGAATCATCACTTGTTCAATCATCATGGGGCTGCCCCCCCGCTCCTTTTTAGGTGTTTTACATGGATTAATTGCACCCGTTTTTGAATGCTCACTTTTACCATCATCCGGGGAACCCCCCCCCCCCGCTGCTTTTTAACATGTCATGCAAATACCTACCCTTGCCGGAGAGGAACTGATGCTGAGGATGCTCTCGGTTTGCTGGTGGCCAAGACGGAAAACAAGCAAAATCCAAAAATAAACCAAAACAAATCCAAAATTAAATCTCGACCCATGCCAAGTGGCACTCCTGGCGCAATGTGTGAATTTGCGCCGGCTCCAAATCCAATCCCATTCAAGGGAACATGCTTTCGAAAGTGCTCGAGGACATTCCAACACTGTTGGCAACATCCAGTACCTTCTAACTCGTCCAAGAAAAGTTTGTCCCTGGAACAGCATCCGTTCCAGATCTGGTTTACTACTACTCAGATTTTCCACCCTTGAGATTTTCCGGCTCCAAAAACGTGCCCGGCTCAACCTGTAGCACCTCGGCCTGTGATACCGATTGTCTGTAAAAAGCAGGTGGTTCTCGGATCTATGCCCAAAGAATCCGGCTTGAAGTGATCAAGTGTCGATGAAGTGGCCCAACCCTTTTTTTGGAAAACCGGCAATGTTTTCTAAGGACATGGACAGTGTGCTGCACATCCACTTGGCGGAGCCCGGGGTCCACGAAGACTGGACCTGGAAGCCGCGCAAGGAGTGCCTCGGAGCACGGGGCCGGGGCGTGGGTCAAATCTGCTTTTTTGCGGTCCGCAACATGTTTGGTGGACAAGCTAGGCAAAAAGGGGTGTGGGGGAGGAGGCGTTCAAATGTAACAGGTTGACTGCAATTCGCGTGCTCGGTTGATTGGAATGTGCATGCCCGCTTTGGCGTTGTTGGGTGGAGGGGGGTTCCGACGCAGTGACTTGAGGACCCTCGTCTTAAAAGCAAGTGCACACAACGCGAACCGGTTGCCTTCTATGGCTGGCAGTCAATGTGGGAATTTGTCAACTGATTTGAAAAGCCGGCTGGGTCCCGAATTTCCGGCAGCCGGTTTGGCAATACGGGGCTGGTTAAGCAACAGCATCAAAAGGCTTGATTGTCGGACCAAATGGTTGCCTTTGGTGTTCCCTAATGGCCATGACTTTGAGTGAAGATCCTCGCAAATGGTTGGTGAACACACCCACACCCATGTGAATACCACAACACTTGCAGATGGTCGCCGAGGCTGCCAAGCGGGGGCAACTGATGCGCGTCCTCAAAGTCTTTGGGCCGAGCTAGGCGGCTATGCTGGCATTCGTTCCCTCCAGGCTTGAGACTGAGGAAGGTCAAGCACATGCTCCTGAAGAAAAGCCAGAAAAAAGGTGAACGGCGACTGGGCTTCTTTTGGCGCGAACATGACACTGCCACAATTTCTCGCCAAACACTTTGTTTTGGGGTCGCAGCTAGATGCTTGACTTCACCCTCACGGACAAGCCCTTGGAAGGTCCGGTAAGCCGAGGGCCTTACAGCAGTCCCTCCGCTGGACATTTGTCGAGTGACAGGGACCAGGGTCATGAGATGTGACCCAAGGCTTCTGAATGGAAAACATGGGGACACAATGTGAGCGGACTGATATGGATCGAGCAAACCGGTCCTCTTGCCGTCGTCGATCCCGTGAATTGCATGTCTGTAAATTGGGCAATGCCCGTTTGGAGCTGGCTATGAGATGCTCGACCAATCTCCTTTGATCTTGCAGTCTTGCAGTCTATGTTTGTTAGGCTGAAGGGATGCTTCCGAACAAACCGCACGCACGTGGGTAAATGGTTGCAAAGGGATAGGTTTTGCTCGAGAAGCTCATGACTTGTGGAAAAGCGTCTTGAGAAGATTGCCAGCGATAGCAATTGCAGTGAAATTTTTGGAAGTGATCTCCCGCCATGCGGCAGGCTGAGAGATAGCCCTGCGATTTAGCTCAGCAATATTTGGGGTACTTGCACCCTTGCAGCTCCAAAAAGGTTCAAAGCAGGTCTTATGGTGCCTGGCAGACCTGTTCTCCACGTGTGGAAAATGCTTTCCAGTTGCATAAGGCGGTTGCACCTTGTTGCACAGTGGGAACACCGTATACTCCAGATCGTTCCCCAATGACTTTGAGCAAATGGCCCCAAACTGAATCTCTGTCCTTTCCACGGGCATTATCTCTCATTCAGCGCAGGCTTGCAGCCAAAAGCGCCTGCAACCTATACTGTGAAAGCTGCAGAGTACTGCTCGCAATTTGGCCAGCACATCGGCGTCCATGTGAGTTCGCAGACCCTTCAGTTTGAAGCAGGTATGGACACGGGGCCAGTTAGGACACGTGGCCTTGAAACACCTGCTTGGGTTGTCTTGGCAGGGACATTTGCTAGGATTCCGGTCAAAGGAAACCGTGATCAGTTCAAAGAACCCATGATTGAGTTTACATCGCTGGCATGTTCCAGGGTTGTTTTTTTTGAGGGTTTTGACCCAATGTTTGAGAAGCTGTTCTGCGGATCACCCTGCTGACAAGCAGCGAATGTGCTGGCCGCGGTCGCGCCAAAGCAGATAGTTGTCTCTTTTCCTTCGCTCATAGGCCACGGCCTTTCCACTTGCATGCCTTGGGAGGATGGACCTGATGCTTTTCTGCTCTTTGGACCTCTCAAACTCCCGCAACACATGTGATTTTGCCAAGTTGCAAGCTGTTGCTTGAAATCCCCTGGAATTCCTGGCTTTCAGGCGCCAGTCTTACCAAACCTGATGCTTGTCCTTTCTTTGTGCTGCCAAGCACCTGGACTGGCTCGCAGCGGCGAGCATTCACATTCCCCGCCAATCAGCGCGGGTCGTCGGCCGTGCGCTTCGATGGGCACAAAGAAATTTGTGGCTCCCTGGCGACAGCCCAGCTGTGACCTACAAAGAGCTGTGGGTATTTAAGGGCGCAATGCGGCAGAAAGGGGGAGTGAGCGCAGCGAGCATGCATTGCCATTTGGCTGTGGGCTCCGGTTGTTTCAGGCTCCGCTCTGGTTACTCCTTGCTGGAGGTTTGTCAGGGTTCCTCAACATTCTTGGCTGTGCTGTCTTCATGGGCCTTGTGAAGAATGCTGTGTTTGAATCGTCTTCTCCTGCGCTCCTTTGACCTGTGGTCTGCTTTCCTTTCCAGGCCCAGATGGTGTATTCCTGGCAGCGGCTGAGGAGAGCAAGACGGGGCTTGAGCAATTTTGAGCTCGGGGCGCAATCTTTGGGGTCGGTGCGTGTTGAGGGACCGGGTATTTTTTTGGGGGGTGGGGTTTAGGGTTAGATGTTAAAGTTAGACCTTAGAGTTAGAGGTTAGGGTTAGAGGCTAGGGTTAGAGGTTAGAGGTCACCCCGCGAGTTTTTTCACATTGCAGTGCGCTTGGCACTTTTTTAGGGGGGGGTCCCGCCCCCCTTAGTCAGCAAAACCCCCCGGCCCTTGCCGGGCCCCAGGAGGGGGCCAAAATGGGGGGTTTTAGGGGGCTGTTAGAGGTAGGGTTAGAGGTTGGGGTGAGAGGTTAAGGACACTAACCTTTATCCCTAACTGCTAACCCCAACCTCTAACTCTAACTCTAACTCTGACGTTCAACCTCAAACCCAAACCTCTAGCGGCTAGGGTCAGAGGTTCGGGTTAGGGTAGAAGTTAGGGTTAGAGGTTTGGTTTAGAGGTTAGGGTTAGAGGTTGGGGCTAGACGTTCGAGTTAGAGGCTAGGTTAGAGGTTTGGGTTAGAGGTTCGGGTTAGCGGTTGGGTTAGAGGTTAGGGTTAGAGGTTAGGGTTAGAGGTTAGAAGTCTGCGCTAGAGTTAGAGTTAGAGGTTAGGGTAGACGTTAGAGGCTAAAGTTAGAGGTTAGGGTTAGACGTTAGAGGTCAGGGTTAGAGGTTGGGGTGATAGGTGAGTTAGAGATTGGAGGTTAGGGTTAGGGTTAGGGGTCCGGGTAAGAGATTAGGGTTGGAGATCGGGGTTGGACGTTAGGGTTAGAGGTTAAGGTTAGAGGTTAGAGTTAGGGGTTTGAGTTAGAGGTTAATGTTGAAGGTGAGGGTTAGAGGTTAGTTTTAGAGGTTAGAGTTAGTGGTCAGAGTTAGAAGATAGAGTTACAGGTTAATCCAGCGCTGAAACTCCTACCCCCCTCACACTCCCCCTAACCACTTAGAACACTTGTCGCCCCTTTGCGGAGAGCAGCGTGGCTTTAGCAAAAGGGTCAGCGGATTTAATGCAACGGCGCCGGAATGAAAGGCAAACTAGACCACGTCTTTTCCCCCAGTTTCGGGCTGCTTAAGGCTGGGGCTGTCATGCTTGCACGTTTCCACAAGTACGTGTGGGTGTTTGCTTTGTAACACCCTGAGACGTTTGAGCGCAGGCTTCTATGGCACAATCCTGGCTACGAACTCTGTTCCAAGAGAAAAGCCTTTATTGGTGTTGGTGTTGAGTTGCCATGCTGAGAGAACTCTTATACTTTGTGCTGCTAGCCAGCCAGCGCCGAACCTTGAAGTTGCACAGGACAAGGAATCGCATAAAGACAGGGGTGCCCTGGAGAGCTTTGCGCAACAAACGAGGCTTTGCAGCGGAGAAAAGGCAAGGCTGGGACAAACGCATATGCAGTTTGACATGTATGTGCATATATACACACACGCGTGCGCCATGCACGTGTGTGACTGTGCAAAGATGTGCGTCTCTAGATACGCTCGTAAACATGTACACATTTGTATTTGTATGACTATGTGTGTAAAACTGCGTAAATACCAACACATTCACTGTTGTCGTCGCTCAATGAATATAATATGCGGTAATTGCACCCATGGCAATATTTTCCTGTTCTCTTGCGCGCGAGTTGGTGTGCGCCGGGCCACTTACAGCCCGAATTTCCGCCACAGACTTGGGAGGCGTTTTTTCTTGGGCGCTGTATCGAGCGGTCAGGAGGGCTGCTCCACATTGAACGACGGGGACTTTGAGTTCCAGGCGTCGCGGTTCGAGCGTAACTGCTCTGTGGAGCAGGAAGCAGGCGGTTTTCTGGTGGTTGCACTTGCAAGCACGGGCCCTCGAAGCAAGACGCGCGCGTAAAGTAACGCGCGAGCAGCTGACTAGTGAGGGATAAGAAGAGAAGCGCACGCAACCAACCCAAGAATCACCGGCAAGCCAGCAAACAGGCAAGCAAGCGACGCAAACAAGCCAGCAAGCGAGCATGCAAGCAGGCAGGTACACAAATCAGCAAGCGAACAAGCCAACAAAGCAACAAACGAACAAGGAACCGACCACCCAACAAAGAAGCAAGGAAGCAAGCAAACAACCAAACAACCAGACAAACTGACAAACTGACAACTAGACAAACAAACAACAAGCAAACAAGCAAGCAAGCAAACAAGCAAACAAACAAACAAACAAACAAGCAAGCAAGCAAGCAAGCAAACAGCAAAAAACAAGCAACCAAACAAACAAACAAGCAAGCAAGCAAACCAACAAACAAACAAGGACAAGCAAACAAGGACAAACAAGCAAGCAATCAAAAAGACAAACAAGCCAGCAATCAAGCAAACAAGCAAACAAGCAAACAAACAACCAATCAAACAAAGAAAGCGAGCAAGCAAGCAAACAAGCAAGCAAGCAAGCAAGCAAACAAGTAAAAAAAAGCAAACAACCAAACAATCACACAAACAAACAAGAAAGCAAGCAAGCAAGCAAGCAAGCAAGCACACAAACAACCAAACAAACACAAACAAAAACAAGAAAGAGAGCAAGAAAGCAAGCAAGCAAGCAAGCAAGCAAGCAAGCCAGCCAGCCAGCCAGCCAGCCAGCCAGCCAGCCAGCCAGCCAGCCAGCCAGCCAGCCAGCCAGCAAGCAAGCAAGCAAGCAAGCAAGCAAGCAAGCAAGCAAGCAAGCAAACACACAAACACACAAACAAACACGCAAACAAACACAAACAAATGCACAAACAAGCAAACAAAGAAGCAAACAACCAAGCAAACAAGCAAGCAAGTAAGCAAGCAAGTAAGCAAGCGATCAGGCAAGCAAGCAAACAAACAATCAACAAACAAAAGCAAACTAAAGCACAAACAAAAAGGAAAGCAAACAACCAAACACAAATCAACAACCGGCCGGACCGCACACCGGCGTGGTAAAGTAGCACGTCACCCTTCTCGGTGGGCAGTAAAACGCTCACCGCACTTGCGGTTTGGCGCTTGCCATTGTGCGATTTCCTCACAAAGTCTGCGCTGCGCCACTGTGATTGGCAAAAACGTGTGCTTTGCTGAGGCGAGGCAAGAGCAACCAAGAAAAAGAAGAACCATGTGGATTTTGCCTCAGCGAAACACGCATTTCTGCAAATCCTGCTGCCTCGCTGCAGAAGGAATGCCGCGGCCACACTTCTATGATCTCGGACATGCGCCGCGCGGCTTTGCCCGTCGTGGAAGACAGCAAGTCTTGCGTTCTAGGTGCGAACCAGAGGAGGATCGTGAGGAACGCTGTTTTGGAAGCATGGGTTCGAGGGAACGCAAGCAAGAATCGATTGCCCCGGCGCAGGCCACAGCCTTCTTACGACCTGCCGAGATGGCTTAGTGAATTAGTTGAGTTTCCAGAGCTTGAGCTACGACCTTTGCGGAGCGCCGTCTGTAAAGCAAGATCGACTTACTATGGTTGTACATCCTCCAGACGTGCTTCTCCAAACGGCGCTTCCCGATCTTCGCCCAGCTTTCTGTCGGCTTACCGCCAGCTTGAGCAGTGGCGGGACCCGTGTCCCACAGAAGCATCTTG